AAGGAAGGAAGGAAGGAAGGAAGGAAGGAAGGAAGGAAGGAAGGAAGACTGTGGGGTCCTTGGTGCTCTCTGACCTTAGATATTTTCTTGCAGATGTTTCATGACCCAACTAGGGAACGGCATCAGTGCTAGGAGAGGGGTTTTCAGAGAAGAGGAAGAAGAAGAGGAGAAGGGCTATGGGGTCCTCTGTGCTCTCTGACCTTGGTTGACCTTGCAATCTTTTTATGACCCAGCTAGGTAATATTGGGGATGAAGGGGGGTTTTATGTAGAGGAAGAGGAGGACAGTGACTGTAGGATCCTTGGTGCTCCCTGAGCTGGGTTGCTTTCTTGCAGACGTTTCATGACCCAGCTAGGTAACATCATCAGTGCTAGAAGGGAGTGGGGTTTGTGGAGAGGAAGAGGAGGGCTCTTGGGTCCTCGGTGCTCTCTGAACCAGGTTTTTTTTCCTTGCAGACTTCTCATGACCCAACTAGGTAATGTCATCAGTGCTAAAAGGAAGTTGAGTTTGCTCTCTGGTTATACAAACAATGGTAAATAACAGTTTATATGAAAAAATAAAATAAAATAATTGAAATAACTAAAATAATACATAAAATAAAATAATACATGATAAAATAAAATATATACAATAAATAAAATAATAGATAAAATAAATAAAATAATAGATGAAATAAGTAAAACAAAATAATAGATAAAATAAAGTAGATAAAATAAATAAAACAAAACTGAGAAATGAACAACCCAGGAGAGGGACCTCATGCCACCTACCCTTCACAGCTCCGAGTTTAAATGCCTGTTTGATGTATTTTATTTTTATTTTCTGCCCTGATTTCCTACATACAGGCAGCCCTCGACTTACAACGGTTCGTTTAGTGGCCATTCAAAGTTACAACGGCATTGGAAAAAGCGAGTTGTGACCGTTTTTCACACCTACAAACCCCGGCAGCAATCCCCCATGGTCACGGGATCAAAATTCGGACCCTGTCAAGAGTCTGAACCCGAGGAGGAATGGGCCCCGATTCCCTTCGTTAGCCACAGCTGAGAAGAGAGTTGATAAAAAAGGCAGGCTGATGGAAGAAAACGTGACTTTATCCTGGGTTGTTGTGACTTATCTCTGTTCCTGGCATCTTCCCAACCGTGCGAGTTTTGCCACGCTTTCAAGCCGGAAATTCTTGTTCCTGCCCTGCCAAACCAATTACTTCATTTTTGGCTTGTTTGGACTTTAAGTTACAGTTTGTGTTGACCACGTTTTGGACTGAATTCTCTGCAGTCAAAGAGTGAGGATCCAAAGGGGCGTGGCACAACAGCACAAAAGTCACAAAAGTAGGCAAAGTCCCTTTAATTCCTCCAACTTGGCCCCCAATGTCCAATTATCATCGGCTGGAGAAAAAATTCTCCTGAGAACAGTTTTTTAAAGGGAAGAAATTCAGTCCAAACCCAAAGTACATATAAATTATCCATAAAAACCAACACAAACCACAGCTGCAGCAATGAACAAGACAGGGCAGGATAAGGAATTACAGACTTCAAAAGATAACAAAACACACACAGCTGGGAGGACGCCAGAACTCAGATAAGACTTGACAAACCAAAATAATTCACGCTTTGCTTTCAGCAAGGTGCTGTGCGCAAACGCCCTTTTTAAATCCTGTTTTCCCAGCTGCAGCTAATGAAGGGGATCAAGGCCCTTTTCTCCCTCGTAAGCCATGTTGCTCCCTTATCTGTTCCTCCCTGTGTGGCCTAGGATGCAGAGCGCCTGGGACTGGGTCTTTCTTTGAATGGCCAGCTGGCCTGTACCCTTCCCCCATTTCCTCCACAGCCCCCAGAGCCACACTCCCACTCCCTGTCAGTTGCTCGACCTCCCCCTCAGAATCAGATTCCAACAGGGGCATGACACAAAGGCTGTTCCTGGGAGTTTTTTTTCTCCAGCCAGAACAAAGGTGGTATTCAGCAGGTTCTGACCAGTTCTGGAGAAGTGGCAGCGGAAATTTTGAGTAGTTCGGAGAACCGGCAAATCCCACTTCGGACTGAAGATTTTACAATATCCTTCCCCTGCCATGTCCACCAAGCTAGGCCCACAGAACCAGTAGTAAAAAAAAAAAATTGAATCCCACCACTGAAGCGGAAGGGAAGCTGGACATTGGGGGCAAAGTTGGAGATAGTAAAGGGACTCTTCTTGCTTATTTGACTGTGGCCTTCGCGCCACGCCCGCTTGGATCCTCACGTAACAAATGTCTCACTCAACAACGTATGTTTGGGGGCTCAACTGCAGTCGTAGGTCGAGGACTACCTCTATCCTTCCCATTAAAAGCAACGCACGAGGTGTTTTGGAGCACTCAAAAGGTAGTTTTTTAGCAAATGGGTTCGCGTCGCTGATTTCGGGCGCCAGGCCAGCCTAAAACCCATTTGGGCAAATTCTCCTCGCCTCCATTAGGCCCCCCCGTTATGAATTATTATTATTATTATTATTTTTTGCAGTGCTGTAAATTTTCTTTCAGGTGGTTTACCCTTTAGAAAACTTTGTGCAATGTTTACATAGATTTTATGTAGACAAGGCTGCTGTGTGTCTTTGTTCCTTTAAAATATCTGGAGTTCAACTCCCAGAATTCTGGGAGTTGAAGTCCAGACATCTTAAAGCAGCAACCTATGAGAAACTTCCAACCGGGCCTTTTCAAACTCCGTCATTCTCTAAGACTTCAATTCCCACAATCCTTCAGCCAGCAATGCATTCTGGGAATTGAAGTTTTAGAACCAGCATTTTTCCAACCTCCGCCACTAGGTGTGGACTTCAACTCCCAGCGTCCCACAGCCAGCAATGCATTCTGGGAGCTGAAGTCCGGTCCTCTTAAAGGTGCCAACGTTGAGAAACAAGAACCCAGATTTGTTTGAGTTCCTGAGTAGTTTGAGTCTTACCTATCATCTTATGTCTTGGGAACTGGATTGATTGACTGATTGATTGATTGATTGATTAATTTACATGCTGCCGATGCCCCTAATAGGGCAACCACTGGATGCCAGGTAGAGGGATACATTTATTAATAAATAACAAATCAATGTCCTAATTTAATAAGTAAAAATATTTATTAAAAAGGGAGGCATGAATTTTATATTATTATTATTGCTATTATTGCTATTATTGCTATTATTATTATTATTATTATTATTATTTTCAAAAATTCAAAACAACGTACTCCATTCCATCCCCTCCCCAAAACTTTCCACCCCGTCTAGTCTCCCCTTACCGCCCCCCCTCTTAAAGCAGGAAAAAGGGGCGACCGCAATAATCGAGGGCCGCTTTCGCAAAACAAAGGCGCGGATCAGGCTGCAAAAGGCAGGAGTTGCAACCGGGCGCCCGCGCGGAGCCCGAAGCCGCCCGCCGGCCTCCTCCTGCAAAAAGCCCCTTTCTTTCCGGCCTGCGCATTGCACCGGACGGATCTCGGCCTGCAAAGCGGGGTGGGGGTGGAGGATAGAAGTGTGTTGCGTGTCTGGTGTGTGTGTGGGTGTTGTGTGTGTGAGGCTTACCTGGTCCCCGGTGCCCAGGCAGCGGTAGTCGCGCGTAATGAGCTTCCAATGCACGAAGCAAAGCAAGGCGTCCTGCCCGCAATCCACCTCGGGCGCCACCGAGTTGTACAGCAGCTCCAAGCCGGCCATGGTGCCTCCTCCTCCGCCACCGCCTCCTGCAACAAGAAGCGCTCGGGGAAGGAAGACGAGAGACCCGCCTCCCCCGGCCGGGAAAGCGAAAGTAGCCGACGCGGGGAAGCGCCCGCCCGGCTCCGCCTCCCGCTTTGCCCTGGGAGCGATCAGCTGGGCTGCTCCGTTTCGTCCCTCCCCACCCCCGAGGTTGGCAGAGCCCATCCTCCGCAGCCCGGCCGGGGAGGATGGGCTGGAGGTACTAATACCGCTCTATAAAGCCTTAGTAAGGCCACACCTGGAGTCCTGCATCCAGTGGCGGATTAAGGCTCACGGGTGCCCTAAGCACTGACAAATCTTGGCGCTCCACTCCTTTGGGCATACAAGATTTATTATTATTATTATTATTTTTACAAATCTTCATTTTTATTATTTTTCTTTCTCAACTTTGGGGTGCCTCCTTTGGGTCTGGTGCCCTAAACCCGTGCTTAGTCTGCTTAATGGTTAATGCATCACTGGGTGCATCCAGTTTTGGTCACCACACTATAAAAAAAGAGGTTGAGACTCTAGAAAGAGGGCAGAGAAGAGCAACCAGGATGATGAGGGGACTGGAGACTAAAACATACAATGAACGGTTGCAGGAACTGGGCCTGGCTAGTCTAGGGAAGAGAAGGACCATGGGAGACAGGAGAGCATCTTCCAATATTTGAGGGGCTGCCACAGAGAGGAGGAAAGGGGTCAAGCTATTCTCCAAAGCTCCTTTGAAGGTCAGACAAGGAATGATGGATGGAAACTGAACAAGGAGAGATTCAACCTGGAAACAAGGAGAAACTTTCTGACAGGGAGAACAATCAACCAAAGGAAATGGCTAGTCTTCAGACAGAAGTTGTGGGAGCTTCATCCCTGGAGGCTTTCAAGAAGAGATTGGAGTGCCATCTGTCTGAAATGGTGTAGGATCTCCTGCTTGGGGAGGGGGGGTTGGATTAGATGATCTACAAGGTCCCTTCCAACTCTGTTAATCTTTAAATCTGTTACTGCACCCAGTTTTGGTCCCCACATTATAAATGTCAGGTGATTGTCAGACTTGACAATAAAAAAAGACGTTAAGACTCTAGACAAAGTGCAAAGAAGAGCAACCAGGATGATGAGGGGACTGGAGGATGAAACATACGATGAATGGTTGCAGGAACTGGGCCTGGCTAGTCTAGGGAAGAGAAGGACCAGGGGAGACAGGAGAGCATCTTCCAATATTTGAGGGGCTGCCACAGGGTGGAGGAAGGGGTCAAGCTATTTTCAAAAGCACCTGAAGGTCAGCTAAGAAATAATGGATGGAATCAAGGAGAGATTCAACCTGGAAATAAGGAGAAACTTTCTGACAGTGAGAACAATCAACCCACGGAACAGAAGTTGCCTTCAGAAGTTGTGGGAGTTTCATCACTTGAGACTTTCAAGAAGAGATTGGACTGCCCTCTGTCAGAAATGGTGTAGGGTCTCCTGCTTGGACGGGGGTGGTGGACTAGATGACCTATAAGGTCCCTTCCAACTCTGATTATCTGTTATGATAGAGAAAGATGATAGATAAATTAGATCAAAGTTGGTAAGTTTAAGACTTTGGACTTCAACTCCCAGGATTCCTGAGCTAACATGACCGGAGGAGGAATTCTGGGAGTTGAAGTCCACAAGTCTAAAAGCTTTCAAGTTTGAAGACGCCTGAATTAGACAGACAGACAGACAGACAGATATGGTAGGTAGATAGACAGACAGACAGACATGATGGAGACAGATAATGGATAGATGATAGATAAATAGATTGACAGACAGACAGACAGAGAGATGATAAAGAGATGATAGATGGATGAAAACATAAAGAGATGATGGATGATAGATGATAGACAAATAAATAGACAGGTTGACTGACAGAAATGACAGATAGATAGATAGATAGATAGATAGATAGATAGATAGATAGATAGATATGTAGAT